AAGATGTAACTTGCACTTTTATGTAAATCTGTTGTTGTTATTATTGTATTTGATTAAATCTTAAACTAATGCTTTTCCCATCTCATTAAACATTACGGTAGAAATTATTTCATCTTATGTATCATTTTATTTTGCAATTTTGTATAAGTATTATAATGATATATCTTGAACTACACGTTGTCAATAACTTCATTTTAACCTTTTCTCATGAGTCTTGTTTCCATTTACTTTTAGGCTTACAATGGTGATTGTATGTTGCGGAACGGAATATATGTGTAAATGTTCGAACATTAACCAAAATTCATATGTGCGTATTATATAAATATATATATTTTTGTTACTATTCGAACACTTCTATATATCTAGTGTGGGGCGGAACAAATCTAATTTAGGAATAAGAAAAATATGCAGAGTAGTTGAGAAATTTATTTGCTCAACTATCAAAACTCAAATTTCATTCAATCACTTGTTGTTTCTCTCGTTTTCTACGTTTGTTGACTGAAAAAAAAATATATACAGAAACTAAACAATGCTTAAACCCAAAAATTAAATAGAGAACTATTCCAACAAATGCAATATGCAAAATCAAGCCCAGCTCATGTAAATAAGGCCCAATAAGGAGTGAGTTAAAAAAGGAAAAAAGGTCAAAGGGAGAGACTTGCGTTACAAGTTTCAAAACCTAACTCTGTATAAAACTTTAAAATCTCATTGCTTCGATCTCATACAGAACATCGAATATGGAGACTCAGAGATCGTGGGTCTCTCTCGGAGAGAAAGGCTCTTCTCTGTCTTCTTGCTCTGTCTATAAGATTTCCACCAGAGTCGCTCAAGTGCGAGTCGACTCTTCTGCTCTCGAAAGATTGTCCATCAAAAACCCTGAAATTGCTCAAAAGAAGTCGTCTCTCACAATCCCTCAAGACTCTACGATCGAAGAGCTTCGAGCTTCTTTAGTCGTTCTCTTAAACAAACTTCTCATATCTTCTTCCTCCTCATCTACAATCAGTAGGGTTCTTTCGGAGATACTGAATTCGAAGGAGTTTGACATGGCTAAGATTGAGTTAACCGAAGGAGAAGGCGACTTCTTGGAGAAGTCATGTGCTCCATTGATCGGTATATGTTCGGTTATAGACAACAAATCTGTAGCCTTTTCTCGGGTTGTGGATGCAGTTGCTGCTTTGAGCTGCGAGGCTTTAAAAGCTACTGTCAAGTCTTTTAGCTCGTTGGATTCAGGAGACAAATTCGCCATTGAAGTTGCTAGTGATCTCAACGTTTTACCAAACGGTTCTAAATTAGTTGTTGGGGATAACAATGAAGAAGTCGAAGCTGTTTCGAAGATCCCTGGAATCCATGGGAGATTCCGTGATGTAGTGAAGGATCTGATGTTAGGGCAGAATTAAACTCCAGTGTCAAAGGAGGGAAATTCGGGTCAGGAAACGTTGAGGCTTTAGGAACAAGATTGCTAGCTTTGTCAGACGCGTTAAGAAACATTGGAGAATGTTCGTCTATTCGTGCCAAATGATCTTTTGAGTCTATCGAAAACGAGAGTCTAAAGAAGGGTTTATCGAGTCTTGATTATGAAAATATGAAGAACGGACTTCAGGTAGCATACACTGCATTATTTGTTGATAGGGACTGTTACAAATTTGCTCACTTTGTGAATGAAACTCTTGGAGTTGTGTATAGAATTGTTGGTTTGGAAGCTGTTGCTGCTTTCTTTACCCTTGAAGCTGGAGAAATGTTCAGTGAGAAGAGGTAGAGGTAATACATTAGCTTGCTACAAAAGGTTACTTAGTCATGTAGATGGAAAATGTTGCTTTGACTTGCTTTCTAATCAAACAATCTCTATTTGTCATTTGCTTGTTTCATCAAAGGGTACTCGCGATTTTGCGAAAGAGAAAATGATAGACCGGAAAAAAGTGTTTTCAACCATTGAAAGTGTTTTAGAGAGGCATGGTGCTACTGCTCTTGATACACCTGATTTCGAATTGAGAGAGACACTTAGAGGGAAATACGGAGAAGATGACAAGTTGATTTATGATCTTGCTGATCAGGTACCGCATTTTTCGATTCATTTGATCTCACAATAAGCTAGTTCTTTAGCCTCCATTCTTACATATATGTATATGATGCTGACTTATATAGGGTGGAGAGCTCTATTCTTTACGATACGATTTAACCGTTCCATTTGCGCGCTATGTGGCTATGAATAAACTCACTTCATTTAGAAGATACCAAATAGCTAAAGTACACAGAAGATTCCGAGAGTTTTATCAATGCGATTTCGATATTGCTGGTTTGTCTACTAGAATGGGACCCGATTTCGAGGTTGTAAAGATCTTGACAGAACTTCTTGATGAGCTACAAATTGGAGATTACGAGGTAAAAATGTCATTTCTTCCCACTATTTTGCTGGTTTCTGAATAAACATTCTTTGCTTTTTAATACTGGAAAAGGTAAATCACTCTGTGTTTGTATTGAATTAGATCAAGCTGAGTCACCGAAAGTTGCTTGACGGTATTCTGGAGTTATGTGGAGTACCACCGGAAAAGTTTAGAACCATATGTTCAAGTATTGATAAGTTAGACAAGCTATCGTGAAGGAAGAAATGGTTAGAGAATCTCTTCTCATGTCGTTTTATCGGTTTCTTGATTGTGAAAACCAGACGTATGATTTGTGTATGTTACATTTTAGGTGGAAGAGAAGGGTTTGTCTTTAGAGACAGCAAAAAAAATCGGCACTTATGTGACACAAAGAGGACCACCTAGGAAACTGTTGGAGAAACTCAGAAAAGAAGCGAGTCTTTTAGCTGACAAATCATCAAAAGAAGCACTTGAAGATTTGAGTATTTTGTTTGAAGCACTTGAAGATTTGAGCATTTTGTTTGAAGCACTTGAAGGATCGAATTGTATAAACAGAATAGTCTTTGATCTGAGTCTTGCTAGAGGTCTTGATTACTACACCGGAGTCATCTTTGAAGCCGTATGCAAAGGAGCTGAGGTAAAGTGTATACAATCACTTATCATATACTAGTAAGGTCTTAAGATGAAGTATCTAAGAAAAGTTTTCATCTTTCTTTTAAGGTTGATCAATCGGTGCTGGTGGGCGATACGATAACCTTATTGGAACGTTCGT